AACGATCCCTGTTATGGCACCTAAGTGACCAAATGATACTTCAAATGGCCAACCCCATCCGCAGCACCCACCAATATTGCTTAACTTTCAGCATTCATACTTGTGCGATTGTCAATTAAAAAGCAATTATTGCGCATATATGAGGCACCATAACAACACGTCGATGTTTTGTATGTGTGCCTTTATACTGGAGAAGGCCTCCTTATCGCCTCCGAGACAGGCACGCATCTTTCTCCGCGAGCGCGCATGCCTTCCTTCATTTTCGAAGATAACTGCCAGATGGTGCTCGTGTCTAACGTGGCTCGATGCGCTCGTTTGCCTTCGCTGCATGGATCGCGACTCCCTAATGCAGTGCTTCCAGTATAGAATTCACCGATTCTCTCGGGCAACAACGCTTTGTTCACTCTCTCCATACGCAGGGCTATCGTTTTTCGACGATATTTTCAGTGAAGCATGCAGATACGGGGCCAATTTTTTAAGGATAAGATCCGTACGACAATCTGCCTCTAAAGGTGAATAATGTGATTGTAGTTAGTCGTACGATACATGTTTCTGGGCCCTTGCATTTAAGGTAATAGTGCGACTGGCTTAACGCATATTAGTACCCCCTTCATAGCGTTTCGTTTATGTTGTTGGTGTCATAATTTACTTGCCATAATTTTAGTATATTTGTACATATAAATTGTGGTTATCATCACCTCACTGAAAATCCTTCAATATATTTTTCTCTATTACAGGAATAAACAGACACCGAGGAAAAAAAAAAGAGCTTAGGGGAAGCTAAATGTATATAGGCGAACCCCGCTACAACGAACACCGCTTTAAGAAAAGTTCCGCTACAACAAAAAATTCACGGTTCCACGTCGGCAGACTATAAGTGTCATTGCATAAATATTGTGGCCACAACGAACACTTTTTCCTCTGCCATCCCTCTTCAATGAAATTTCATAATGCGATTCCAGGCTCGGATATTTTTTACTATACAGTAAACACAATCTTTAACATTTTGATGCATTTTCAGAACCTGAAAATACATCGACGAAGTCTAAAACACGTGTTGGCACCACAAGAAACCACGGTTGCTCAACAAGCATGGGCCCCACCGTTGCTCGATAATGATAGCAATGAGACTGTCCTGTTTTTGCCACTGGCTTGCTTTTGAGCTGCATACAATCCGAACCTGAAGCTCAGTCGCTCTGTTTATGATTTCCTTCACGCAGCTGGTGGGTGCGACCTCAGAACGATGCCTTTTCCTATGCCAATGCTTATCATTTTGTTCGTGCTTGGTCATAGTGGTAACTAATCAGAGCGGCTGTTCATCCGCATTATTAACAAAATCGGCTACCCGCGAGTGGTGTATGATAAGAATGGCATAGAATAAAGCAAAATTCGCCACTCGACGATACCATGCCCGCCTCTCGACGTTGTCGGATGCACTTTGACGGCAAACAGCTGCTAATGTTAATGTGTTAATGCAACTGTTTGGTTCCTTCACGAAAGCGGGTATAGGCATTGTTTCAGTGTGCCTTTCACCATGGCCTCACTATGCATGGGTGAGAATCGCGTCGTGACGCTGCTGGAAAAGAATAGGAAGCAGTGGACACTTTTTGAATTTTGAGATCAGCTATATTTTTTAGATTTCACTACAACGAAATTTTCGCTTCAATGAAACTTTTTTCACGCCCCGTCAGTTTCGTTGTAGCGGGGTTCGGCTGTACTAACAAGATGTAGAAGTAACGTAAAGAAAGTCTGAATGAACGACTAGCATATGCAGTCTAATGAAACTGACAGTCAAACTAAAGAAAGGATATGAGACATTCTTTGTAGCTTTTAAATATAGTGCAGTAACACCTTTCATCTTTACCATCGGTGAGGGGCGTGAGCCCACAACCCTTGAATTACTTACTCTACCAAGTGAGGTATGTCGGCGGGCTACAAAGTCGACGGGGGTCCACTTTGCTGGATACTGCTGTGCATGCAATCCTGGGAGAGTTAGTACTGCACATAGCCAAGGCAGTGAGTGTGAAGTGCTATTTTTTACCAGAAGGTGTTACATTGCACGGTAACGAAACTGATCAATACACCCCGGCATGCAATGTGGAGGCATCAAGTCTTCTAGGACGAGACCTCCCTCACTAGGAAATAAGGAAAGAAGGGGAGTGATCTGAGGGACTCGTTTGCTTTGTTAGACACGACCTAATGAAGCCAAGGAAGGAATAGGTGAAATTATTTGTTGTTTTAAACTGCAGTGTAGTAATTGTGGCATACTTAAAGCCAGTCCTAGTGCATCTATATTGTTGACATAGCTTCAATGGAGATTGAAGCTACTTGCTACGAGAGCTACAAAGCAGTGAAAAAACACATTTGCAATATGTATAGATTGAGACTTCTCTAAATGTATTCAGGAACCATGAGAACAAAGCAAGGAGTAGGTCATAGAGCATAGATTCAATATCTTAAACGATGACCAACAGAAAAATTGCTGCTTGTGACTTTTATGCTTTAATTAGTAGCTTTGTGTGTTATAATCCCATTATTAAATTGTAAGCTCTCTGCTATATCATGTAATTTATTCTGGAATGATGAATTTGGACCAATTTTGGCATGTTTCTAAACACCTGCCTAGAATGAAGCCAGGACTCCATTATACTGGAGCACCATAAGAGCGTGTGTGCTCAAGCTTTGGCGACATTAAAAGTGTGCCTTTTGATTTGGGGCCCTGTGTGTGGGAAATAATGAAATGATATAGGTGCTGTAATATCAATTAGGGTGTAATGCACCACGCACGTTCTTCTGCCAAAATTTTTGTGATAAATCCACCTGCCAAGCACCAATTGTGTTGTCAAAAGTCTTCCCCCCTCACAAAAAAAATACTGATGCGGTTTAAGAAGTCTGATGTGAAGCCAGTTGGAAAAAATAAGGAAAGCACAGTCTGGTGTCTAATTGCAATAAATGATTTCAATGTAAATGGCTGTCTACAATGTGAAATGCATTCGCATTGCACAGATTTTCATTCATGTCCACCTATTCTTGCATTCCACTGGGTTCGCCTTCTTTCAGCACACAAAATCTGTTGGGACTCTATACCGCTCATCCCCAGCCAATCATCCATGCTGGCGTGTCTCGCCCACGAAACGATACAACTCTATGGAGAAGTAGTCTCGAACTGTGCAACACAAATATTGAATATGTCATGAAGACGTCTAGACAGGAGTCACAAATTGCATAGGCAAGCTGTCCTGAAAGTTTTTATAACTCCCTTTATAGCTGTCTGCAAACATGTGAAACTTACTAAGGCACTAAAAACATCACAGGCATAAATTTCACACAGTGGTTTCACAATATGCTGGCACAGAATGCAGGTAAGATCACTGCTCTGAACGATCACACTTGTGCAGACAAGCACATGGCAAATCATTCAAAGGGGCATGCCAACGGATCAGGCATGAGGCGAACCAAGCCAGATATTTAAAGTGAGAGTGTTGCCACCATTCAGTGCCATGATAAAAGCATTCGATTGTTGACATTATTCTTGCTAGCGCATCATCAACCTAGAGTGGTGAGAGCCCTCTGAGCATATCGCAGTAAGTCACAGGATGCTGAATTTCTATTGAGTCTTTGTATGCGATTTGCCCTTAACATAAGATAACTTCCATGTTACAAACACCATTCACATTTGGTCAAACATCAATACATACGATTGCTTCCCAGATACAGCGCAGCTTTCCCGTTGCATATTAAACTAGGAAGTTCCCACAAAGTATTCTTGGCTATATTTTATGGGAAATTTTGTTTCTTGCTTTTGTACTCTATTGTAGAATTCTGTGTAACAGCTAGGCAATATTTGTGAATACTATGCAGCAGCACAAAACCCTGAGATAATTTATCTTGAAATGTCCTTCCCGCGTACCCATAAATGCAACACCCTAAAAATTCTATATGTGATCACATGCCTTTCAGAACCCCATTTCTCTTTCAAAAGCAAGGTTTTGCTATGCGGGGAAAGACCTACATCCATACCAGTATCAGCAAACAGCTGCTCTGTCAGCTCGCATATGTCTAGGAATAGTTGTTGCCACTGTTTGTGATTACTAAAAGAAATAATAGGAAAGGGTGTCAGTCAGTCTCAGAGTGTGTGAGCATGCTGCTGCTGGCTGCTTTCGAGTTGCTTGGTCACAGCAAGTGCAGTTCAGTGATGCCGCATTGGGAGAAGTGGCTTCGAAGCTGTGGCATAATGGCTTGAAGGCGGGGGTGTCAAAATTCCCGATTCCCACACTATGGCAGGCCTCACAGTGATTTTGGCACATAAAACACCAGAATATAAATACTTGATGCAATTTCATTTGATCTAAAGCTCAAATGTAGTAAAATAGGTATTTTCATGTGTGTGTTTGTGTGTGTACACATGTAAAAAAAGAGGGGAGGGAGTAGGAAATACTTTTAAAAGCACACCTGGCAATCACTCCCTCCTGGTAAACAAAAACCTTCTGCTTATAATTATTAGTAATGTGACTAATGTTTATCATAATGTGCTTTGTTTTATCAATATGTATAAGGTTGCATTGAATATATGATATATAGCTGAGCATTTTCTTGTAGATATGATTTTGCATAACTAAAGTTGGCTATATTTAATAGTCAACTTTGTGTACTTAATTTCAGCAGGAGTCAATGTTAAATTGCTAGGCAGGGCATCAAATTAACACTTGATGATTCTGTTTCTGTAAATGTAGTTTGCCCTAATTAAATATAATCACACTTCTGTACGACTGGTCACTCATTTGTTCTACATAATTAAAGTTTCGTACTACAACACCATAAAAAAATATTTTGTTTTTATGAACTTACTGCCAACACTATCCCTGGATTAGTTTTATGTTTGCATGATGAGACATGTAGATACATGATAAATACTTCATTCTTGTCTAGAGAGTCAGCATCTTTCCAGTGCCAGTTATGCTGGTGCATACCTTAAGGGTATTGGCACATCTGCCTTTTTATTGCAGGAAGACCTGAGGAAACCATTTTGCTGGGCTGATTTTGTGAGAAAAAATGAAAGAGCACTTTCTCTTTGGGCTGACATTGCTGAAAAGTCGCAAATCAAGCAGGATGGGCCTCTATGTGACATAATGCTGGAAAAAATTCCTGTAAAACGCAGGAAGTGCGAGGTATCTTTCATACTTTCAAAGATATACTTATATAGTGCTGTTGCTATTTTAGCTTAGCTAAAACACGAATGAACTAGCTCTCCGATGCTGTGCATATGACATTAATTTCTTTTTTCCTGGAAAATGTCCAGATAGGTAGGTTGCAGAGCATTTGAATACTAGTACTTTAGTAATTAACGACTTCAAGTGTTCTTTCTTGCAGCGTCCCCTTGTTGGGCTCGGTGGTGGGTTATTGCCACCAAATTTAAAATGCTTCTTATGGAAAACCCTTTTTCCGCACTCCCTGATCGCCGCCTGAAAAGGTGGCGCACCGATGACAACTTCTTTTTTGCACAGCCAAAACAGAGCTTCCCCAAGTACCACATAATTCACAGCCAGAATGAAAAGAAAACAGTTCGATCTATTTCACCATTCATTGTCTCCAAAACCCTCACAGATTGAAATTGGCGCTGGCTATAAAGTAACAAAGATGGGGAATGGCGATCTCCTTCTAGAAGTTCACAACAAGACTCAGTACGACAAGTTCTCAAAACTTGTAATTTGGTAACATCCCAGTATCAGTGGGCCCACATGGGTCGATGAACACAGTGCCTTATCTGATGATGACTTTCTCGAGCTATCTGAAAGTGAATTGCTTGAAGGCTGGCCGGAACAAAATGTAGTGAAAGTACAAAGAATAACAATCAGGTGAGATAATAAACAGACCCCAAAAAAACACATCATAATTACCTTTGGTACAAGCGACCTCCCTGACTCCATTCAAACCGGTTAGTGTAAGCTTCGTGTCAGACCTTGTGTACCGAATCCTCGCCAGTGTTTCAAGTCTCAGCACTTTGGACATGGATCCCAAATGTGCAGAGGGCGCACTAGGTGTGCGAAGTGCGCATCTTGTGAGCATGCATCTGACGCCTGCACTTCAGAAGCCTGTTGCGCTAACTGTGAAGGAGATCTTGCCGCCTGCTCCCGATCGTGCCCTTCATAGAAAAAAAAGAAACAATTATTAGAACTTAAGGTCAAGTTCAATCTGTCATTCCAAGAGGCATCTCAATGGTTTTTTGCACAAAACCATTCTGATCCTTTCTTCACTGACGTGGTGCACTGAGTCACCGTGCCTCATTTTTCCGCACCCGCGAGACTCACACCCAGTGTGACCGCGGTTGTGCCATAAGCGCCTCGGGCTGGAGCAGCCTGTACTACTCTGCCTACTGCTCGGAAGGGCCAGCAGACTGCAGAGTCTGCCGAACCCCTGGCCACTGCAAGTGCAGTCAGGTTCGAAATCGCCATGAATGTGCCTGCCAAGCAGGCACCATCTGATGGATACAAGCCATACTCCTCCGGCGTTTCAGTGCCGAAGGAAAAGCGCAGCTCTTTGGAGCGGAATAGGAAAAAGAAACCCCGCATTACAATGCCCCCGAAAAGCCGTGTAAGCTAAGGCAACATTTTTGTACACACAACACTTAACTACATTAAAAATGGAGACACAAATTTTACAGTGGAACGTCAGAGGACTTTTGAAAAACTTTGACAATATTCAAGAACTTTTACATAAACATTCACTGAAAATGCTCTGTGTACAAGAAACAGACCTAAAACCCAAGAACACTAATTTTCTATGCCGGCATATTGTTTTTCGAAAGGACAGGGATGAAGCCGTCGCGTCATCTGGTGGTGTTGCCATTATAGTCTATCAAGGGATTGCATGTACTCATCTACCCCTCGAAAGTTCTCTTGAAGCAGTGGCTATTCGAGTAGTTCTTCTGAACAAACTCGTCACCATCTGCTCTATCTACATAGCTCCACACCATCATCTTGAAAAACGTGAATTCCAGACCCTAAAAGATAAACTTCCAGAACCCTATATTCTCCTTGGAGGTTTCTATGCTCATAGCAATCTATAAGGTGACTCTTGCTGCGATGCTCGAGGTCACCTGATTGAACGGTTCCTTTTTTCTTCTGGTGCGTGTCTTTTAAATCGGAAAGAGCCCACATACTACTGCCTCGCCAACAATACTTACTCGTCAATAGCCCTCAGTACTGTCTCCATCCCTCCTTCTTTTACTGACATTAAATGTCATCAATAATCCTTAGGGAAGTGACCACTTTCAAGTAACGCAAAGCGCACCCATATCAAATGAATATTGCCCGCAAGTCCACAAATGGATCACTGACAAAGCCGATTGGGAACAGTTCTCGAAGATTACTCGTTTAAGTTGGACTGATTTATCTGGTTTAAGCATAGATGCAGCTGTACAATACTTTTTGGCTTTTCTGGTAGCCGCTGTGATGAGATGCATCCTGCAAACATCTGGACTGCCTGGCAAGTGACGTGTCCCATTGTGGAACACTCAGTGTCGCAGTGCACGCCAACAACAAAACAAAGCATGGAGGTGGCTTTGGAACTCGCCGACAGCAGAGAATCTTGAAAGCTTTAAGAAAATTAAGTCCCAAGGCAGCAGAATGCCCCGGCAGGCTAGGAGAAAAAGTTGGCAGAAGGTTTTATCAGGCATCACTTCATATACACAAGAAACTAAAGTATGGAACATGGTTAGCAAGGTAGCAGGGCGACACGCATCTTCACTACCTCTCATAGACACACAAGGAGACACCTTGAACACCAGGCGAACATCCTCAGTGCTTACTTCTAAAAGGTGTCCAGCTCATCGCATTATACTGCAGCTTTTCAACGACACCAAACGAAAAATCGATAAATAGTAACTACAGCGAGAATCCTCTAAAGACGAGTCATACAATAAATCTTTCTATTTGGCAGAGTTACAAGCATCGCTATATGGCTGCAATAAATCTGCCCTAGGTTCAGATCGTATAGTATACAAAATATTAAAACAACTGCTTTTTGAACTGCAAAAAATCCTGCTTTTCCTGTACAATGCTATCTGGTTTTCCAGTGAAATCCCCTATGTTTAGAAAGAAGCCATTATTATTCCGATTTTAAAGCAAAGCAAGGATCCATCTTCTGTTAGTAGTTACAGGCCCATCACACTTACAAGTTGCCTTTGTAAACTTTTTGAAAAAATGATAAATTGCCGACTTGTACATTACCTTGAAACAAACAATCTGCTCGACCCATTCCAGTGCGGGTTTCGAGAGGGTAGATCCACCACCGACCACCTAGTACGTATCGAGGCACGAATCCGAGACGTCTTCGTCCACAAACAATACTTTCTTTCTGCATTCCTCGATATCGAAAAAGCCTACAATATGACATGGCGATTCAGAATATTAAGAGACCTGTTCCATCTTGGTGTGCATGGCAGCATGTTTACTATTATCGGAAGCTACTTGTCCAATCGAACATTCCGTGTCAGAGTGGGCAGTGTTCTTTCCCAAACATTTGTCCAAAAAACAGGAGTACCGCAAGGCGGCGTACTTAGTTCTACTCTTTCTATTGCCAAAATGAATTCTTTGCGTCTTTCCATCCCACAAAATATGTTTTACTATACATATGTCGATGACGTCCAGCTTGGATTTAAGTCTTGTAACCTGGCAATTTGTGAGTGGCAGGTTCAGCTTGGCTTGAGTCTCCAAATGGGCAGAGGGAAACAAATTCCGATTGAATCCCTAAAAAAGTGTGTCTTGTTCTTCAGCCTCATTCTGACCCTGACATTCAATAACATGGTCAAAGTCTCTCTGGTAATGCTAAATACAAATTCTTAGGCCTGATTCTGGACACCAAGCTAACCTTTGTACCACACATAAAGTATTTAAAGAACATGTGCATAAGAGCCATGAATGTTATAAAAGTGTTGTCACGCACTACGTGGGGGAGTGACAAAAAGTGTCTCATGAACTTTTATAGGAGCTTCATACACACTTGCCTGGAATATGGAGCAATAACCTATCACTCTAGGAAACTTAACACCCTAAAGATGCTTGACCCTATTCACCACCTGAACATTTGCCTCTCTACGGGTGCCTTTCGCACCAGCCCTATTGAAAGCCTGTACCTGGAATCGAACGAATGGCCACTCCACCTACAGAGATGCTACATGTCTTTTCTATATTCTCTCAAAGTGAAGGCAGACAAGGACCACCTTCGCATTCCACAATTGACGACATGTTTACTTTTGTTCTGTTTGAAAACGGGCTATCTTTGAGACAACCCTATTCACTTCGTGTGAGAGGCCTTTCTGGGGAAACTGGCGGCTCCCGCATCATGTCTGCCACCATAGCAGTGGCAAACAATACATTGTGATGTTTCTTGTTGAGAGATTACAAAGGGCACGCCCAATGTACATGTCCGCACATACTTCCTAGAACTACGACAAAAGTACACATGTGCTGAGTTCTTTACAGATGCCTCGAAGTCCAACACTTTTGTTTTGTATGTAGAGATCGGCCCATCTTTCTCAGATACTGGCATCCTGCATCCTGATGCAAGCATTTTCACAGAAGCATATGCAATACTTGCGGCTGTTAAACACATTGCACATATAAAACTACAAAAAGCAGTAATTTACACGGATACTCTAAGTATGGCGAAAGCCCTGAAAACTCTTGACAAACACCAAAACCCAGTTTTTTTGTCTCTTTATGCACTGTTATGCACAATCTTCATATAAACAGCATGTTGTAGTCTGCTGGGTGCCAAGACACCGTGAGATGCAGGGAAACGTTTTGGCAGACCAGATGGCTGCATCCGCCACCGACGATGCTGCTAATCCCTGCGCTTGACATGAAACCTCTTCTAAAACAAAAGCTCAGGGGCTATTGGCAGAACACGTAGAATAGACACACAGATAATAAACTACATGTTATTATGCTGCAACTCGATCATTGGCCACCTCTATCAAAATCGCAACACACAGAACTAATACTTACAAGGCTAAGAACAGGACGTACATACTCTACACATTCATATCTTCTGTCTGCCGGCAATCAACCAATGTGTGAGAGATGTGGAGAACCACTTACAGTTCTCCACATCCTTGTTCAATGCAACGAGTTAGATGCCTTATTAAGAAAAAAAGCACTTCTTATTACCCCTCCGACAGCAGCTCCGACTACACCCTGGATGCTCATCGGTAGGGATCCGCTTTTTAAACTTCAATTGCTGTTTACGTTTTTGAATGATGTATATAGTTTTCACTCTTTATTTCGAGGTGATTCATAGCACGACCTCTGTACTGAAGTCACGGCTGCGGGGACTACATCCCGTCATGGTTTTATAATAATGACCTTTCGCCATCCACTTTCACTGCACATATTTCAAGCCACTGTCATGATTTGGATACGTCTATGTTTTTACCTGCGTTAGCACGAGAAATCTTAAGGCCCCTCTACGACCACACACCATATCATTGTTCACATCTCTAGTCTACTGAAATGGCACTCTTTGGCCATCAATTGGCCCTTGTGCCATAAAGCACCACACATCATCATCATCTCATGTTTCACTAGTTGCATTAATGTGTAGGGCTTAACTGATTTTGCTCAATCACAAAACTCAATTTAACTACAAGTATGAGAAAATGCGCTGTTAGAATTCTTCTAAGATTCTGGTACTTTTCCTGTCAGGAGACACCTCGTAAACAGGGTCACTAGTTTTTCTAACACAATCTGTCCTCCATCTTTCAGCAGATCTGATGTTACCTGATCCTCACCAGCAGCTTTGCCTCTTTGCATGCTCTCCAAGGCTTTTCTGCCTTCTTCTATCAGTACTGGTGGGGTGTCATCTGGGTTACTGCTAGTTCTTATATTAAGGTCGTGATTCTGTTGGCTACTGTACAGATCTCTGTAAAACTCCTCCGCTAATTTTAGTATCCTATCTATATTGGTATTTACTTTGCCTTCCTTGTCCCTTAGTGCATACATCTGGTTTTTTGCCTCTCCCAAGTTTTCTCTTCACTGCTTTGATGCTTTCTCCGTTCTTCAGAGCGTGTTCAAGTCTCTCCATGTTATACCTTCTTATATTGAATACCTTACGCTTATTAATCAACTTCGAAGCTCTACCAACTCTATTTTGTCTGTTGTATTTGAGGCTTTCATGCTTTGACGCTTCTTGATGAGATTCTTCGTTTCCTGGAACAGCTTTCCAGTGTCCTGTCTAACTACAGTACCTCAAACTTCCACTGCACACTTTGTAATGATACTCGTCAGATTATCATTCATTGCGTCAATGCTAAGGCTGTTTTCATCGATAAGAGCCGAGTACCTGTTCTGAAGCGAGACTCTGAATTCCTGTACTTTCCCTCTCACTGCTAGCTCATTTACTATTGGCTTCTTGTGTATCAGTTTCTGTCGTTCCTTATTCAAGTCTAGGCGAATTTTGGACCGTACCATTCTATGGTCACTGTATCGTACCTTGCCAAGCACTTCCACATCCTGCACCATGCCTGGGTGTGCACTCAATATAGTCTATTTCGTTCTTATTTTCGCCATTAAGGTTCCTCCATGTCCACTTACCGTTCCCTCACTTTCGACAGAAGGTATTCAAAATCCGTAAATTATTGCATTCTGCGAATTCTACTAGTAGCTTCCCTCTGGCATTTCTAGTGCTGATGCTATAATCTCCTACTGCCTGGTTTCCATCATCATCCTAATACTCAAGAAAGGAGATGACAATGACTTGAAGAATTACAGGCCGATCAGCTTGCTCTCCGTGGTATACAAGCTATTTACAAAGGTAATTGCTAACAGAATTAGGACAACATTAGAATTCAATCAACCGAAGGAACAAGCAGGATTTCGAACAGGCTACTCAACAATTGACCACATACTATCAATCAGGTAATAGAAAAATGCTCAGAGTATAACCAACCACTATACATAGCTTTCATAGATTACGAGAAGGCATTTGATTCAGTAGAAATATCAGCCGTCATGCAGACACTGCGGAATCAGGGCGTAGATGAAGTGTATATAAACATTCTGGAAGAAATCTACAGGGGATCAACTGCTACCATAGTGCTTCATAAAGAAAGCAACAGAATACCAATCAAGAAGGGTGTAAGGCAGGGGGACACAATCTCCCCAATGCTATTTACCGCGTGCTTACAGGAGGTTTTCAGTAGCCTAGAATGGGAACAGTTCGGGATAAGAGTTAATGGAGAGTACCTTAGTATATATAACCTGCGCTTCGCCGATGACATTGCAGTGCTGAGTAACTCAGGGGACGAATTGCAACTCATGGTTACGGAGTTAGACAAGGAGAGCAGAAATATGGGTCTTAAAATTAATCTGCAGAAAACGAAAGTAATGTACAACAACCTCGGAAAAGAGCAGCGCTTCGATATAGGTAATAGTGCACTTCAAGTTGTAAAAGACTATGTCTACTTAGGGCAGGTAATAACCGCAGAGCCGAACCACGAGATTGAAGTAACTAGAAGAATAAGAATGGGGTGGAGCACATTTGGCAAGCACTCTCAAATCATGACAGGTAGATTGCTGCTATCCCTCAAGAGGAAGGTATATAACAGCTGAATCTTGCCGGTACTTAGCTACGGAGCAGAAACCTGGAGACTTACAAAGAGAGTTCAGCTTAAATTGAAAACGACGCAGTGAGAAATGGAAAGGAAAATGGTAGGTGTAACCTTAAGAGACAAAAAGAGAGCAGAGTGGATTAGGGAACAAACCGGGGTCAAGGATATCATAGTTGAAATCAAGAAGAGGAAATGGACACGGGCCAGGCATGTAGCACGTAGACAGGATAACCGCTGGTCATTAAGGGTAACTAACTGGATTCCTAGAAAAGGCAAGCGGGTTAAGGGGAGACAGAAGGTTAGGTGGGCAGATGAGATTAAGAAGTTTGCATGTATAAATTGGCAGCAGCAAGCAGAGGACCGAGTTGACTGGCGGAACATGGGAGAGGCTTTTGTCCTGCAGTGGACGTAGTCAGGCTGATGATGATGATGAGAAAATCCTGTGCCCATCTGTTGTCATTGTATTGCTTTCTGGACATGCTTTTGGGTTTTAGGCACATTTAGGCAACAGAGTTACTCCATAGTACCGGCTGTTGGTGGAAACCATAGGACCGGCTGTTGGTCAGCAGAGAATGGTAGTGGCATATGAGGAGCCAACTTTCCATTTGAGGGTGGGTGGTTTGAATTGTGCTAGGAGTATGTGAGCCCTTAAAGTGCGATTTCCAGCTGAAGTGGATCCTAAGCCAATCATTATGCTGAGTCAAGAGCACATATACAGCAGAAAGCAGGTGCCACATCTGGTAGTTGTGCGTGGCAAAGAGAGTTCACAAGCAGAATATAAGGTTACCACTTTTTCAAGTGCCCCTTCATCGTACCAAGGCTCATACTTTCTATTTAGAGGGCTGTCATACAGAACATTTTTCGTCACATGTCACACAGCAGATTGCTGCTATTCGTCAATAACTGACATAAACCCAGGATGGTATTTGGATCAGATATGCTTCTTAAAATAGGGTGTCATTGTATTCTTTGTCATTGTATTTTTCCTCTGTTTCAGCAGTGGGCCAAACTATCTTGCTGGCATTTCTGTGCCAGTGTAGATTAAAGGAACCCTGCAACATTTTTTCAGCATGGTCAGAAAATCCTGCCGATCAGTTGTCGAGGCTCCTGAGAACAAGTGACAAAACATTGCAGCGCACCATGATGCCTGGACATTACAATAGATTTTTTAAAAGTCAGCTAGAAACCGCTCCCTCTTCTCTTTACAAGTGATTCTGTAAGCCTAAATAACCGCACCATATACCCAAATTCTACAGCTATTGGCTGATTGTAAGCATTGTGGACTGCATATTTACTATGGCCACCACGAGAAGTGGCCCCGCCACGGTGGTCTAGTGGCTAAGGTACTTGGCTGCTGACCCGCAGATCGCAGGATCGAATCTTGGCTGCGGCGTCTGCATTCCGATAGAGGCGGAAATGTTGTAGGCCCGTGTGCTCAGATTTGGATGCACGTTAAAGAACACCAGATGGTCGAAATTTTCAGAGCCCTCTGCTACAGCGTCTCTCATAATAATATGGTGGTTTTGGGATGTTAAACCCCACACATCAATCGGTCAATCAACCACGAGAAGTGCCCACTTGATCGATTGGGATAACAAAACAAAAGAGAGAGAGTGCTTCAAGTAATGATGACGCATTCTGACAAATAGATGCATCTTCTTGAGTCCTTGTTATTGCCCCCCTGCATAGCTTTCAGCATGGTCGCTGGTAGGAAAGGAGAGAGAAAGCACTTGAAATGTGGAACAAATTAATGCAACTCCACTCATACTTAAGGGATTCTTAAAATTTTTTTGGCAATCAATTAATAAAGCAAGAAACTTTAATGAAACCAATTCTTAATTACCGGGAAAAATGTTGCAGGGCCCTTTTAATAATCCTCACATGTGCATACAATACATCCATACAGTACAGGATGCCTTTTTCTGTTTGTAGGATGAAACAGAAAAGCTTGTTGGAAATGTGGAAGATGCAATCGCGAAGTTAATGCAGATGGACAACTTGGGTCCTATGCAGCCACGGCTGCATCACATTCAACAACAACTGAAGGAAATTCTTGACAATCTGTAAAATAAACGTGCTGAAGTTCACGAGACAAATAAATGAGTTTTTATTCTAACATCTGGAATGGTTATGCATGGGTGTGAGTGTCCGATGACAGTGCTGTCATTCTTTCATAGGCCTGCTCCCGCTGTGCTTGTCTTGCTCTCGGATTTTACGAGTATGAAGCTATGTTAGCAAGGTAAATCACATACTCATATTTCAGTGTGAAATAAAATCCACGTGACTGAAATTGATATAGAACTTTCCACTGTGACATCTTTTATGGCCTAGCTTGTATACTACATTGCATGCATTAAACTCCTCTGGCAGTTACAGAAATAGTGTATACCAGTTGCTTAGTGTAATGCAAGCTCCACTTGATCTCTCTGTTTCTAGAACTCAATGAAGAAAAATATTACTTTACAAGTATAGTATTGATATTATTATTAAAAACTTAGGCACAAATTACATGTGCCCCATGTCATTGTCAACTCAGGAATATTCACTGATAAAGTCCAAGTTGAGGCTGAACACATGCCCCAAATATAATTTTACATCACCCCAAGAAGTATAATGTCATAGGGCGACTTGTTTCCACCAAAATGAAAGATGGGAATTCTACAAATCCAGGTTTTTAAGAAATAACTCATTCAGGCGTGATGCCAGAATTTGCGAATGCAAATTGTTTTGGGCAATTTTCTTGACTGCAGCCCAAAAGAAAACAAAAGAGATTGAGTTTTGGTCAAGTTGAACCTCCCGCATGGTCAGTGTGTCTTTATTTAACTTCACAGTGCTGCCAACGATCCTTTTGCTAAAGGCACTACCATATTTGGGGAGTCCTTTGACATGCTTTGTCTCAACAGCTCCATCAAAAGTGTAATTTTTATTTACTAGAAATAAATACAACCGATAATAAATTTTTCGTGTACTTTGATTCTTAGATTAAATACTTTTCACGTAATAATACATTACAGACTTTTAAATAATTGCATGTTTATATTAGATGTCACACTGATTATGAATCGCTAAAAATGTGCAGGTCAACACATTGCTTGCCAATTGTCTTTCTTGTAATAGAAAAATTACATCTCAAAGGCCAAAGTTTTTTTTTGTCTGCAGGCAATGAAGTGTAGTGATCTTCTCCCCCCTCCCCCCCCCCCCCCCCCCCCCCCCCCGCAAAATCCTTCTGCACCTAACGAGGTTTTATACAGCTCCAGTGATCAGCCCACCTTAGACCTGAGGTGACGGTATGTTAATAGTACGTGGTGCAACGCCACAGTGGCGCTATCATGTGGTGATGATTTTTCGCATCACTCTTGTTGTTGCCACAAATGCAGCCGATTGATTGATATGTGGGGTTTAACGTCCCAAAACCACTGATGATTATGAGAGACGCCGTAGTGGAAGGCTCCGGAAATTTCGACCACCTGGGGTTCTTTAACGTGCACCCAAATCTGAGTACACGGGCCTACAACATTTCCGCCTCCATCGGAAATGCAGCCGCCGCAGCCGGGATTCGAACCCGCGCCCTGCGGGTCAGCAGCCGAGTACCTTAGCCACTAGACCACCGCGGCGGGGCACAAATGCAGCCGAGCTTGTTGGTAGCTTTTCATGTTTGATGGGGATAATGCTCTTTAGCCTTAACATTGGGCGCTCTGAAATCAACTATTGTGTAAAAGTGACACATTTATATATATAACTTATTATATATAATATAACTTATTATAACTTATGCCTGAAGTAAACAAATAGTTTAAATATTATAATCTACAAGTAGAGTATGTAATCACTGCATTTTTAACTTTTTGTGGAGAAAGGTGGCCTTACAGACAAGTAAAAAAAAACAATTTTTTTTGTGACTTCAAAATTTGGTGACGAATTTTCCGGCCAAATGTCTTTTGACAACACTGAATGACGGGCAGCAAATGTCGATTGTTAGTTTAGAATGGGTACAGAGGATGAAACATAAAAACTGGTGTGTGGCATGCTTTATTTGAAAGTGTGGTCAGGGTAAAAAGATAAATTTAAGATGTTTGGCTGCAGTGATGTCACAAGTAATCTAGAGGAACTGTATGTCCACCTCTGCTTCATATGTGATAAGAACTATCGTTAAACCTGCTTATAACGAACCTCCATACAACGAATTCCTCGATATAACGAAGTTTTTTTATTCCCCGCCGTCGCTCCATAGAAGCACATGTATTTGCGACCTCTATGTAACAAAGTAACTGCGAAAGACAACCTTGATATAACGAATTTTCCCCACGGACGATGTAGAAATTATGCTCTGCATTTTGCTACGAGCATGTATCTTCCGCGGCTGCACCGCCGCTTAGGCGGCGGTGCAGCGGACACGGGCCACTACCCACCGCGGCCGAAGCGGTGGGTAGAGAGGATGAAACCGCTTCGGCGGCGGTGGGTAGTGGCCCGTGTCCGCGTCAGGCGGGCCTGCTTTCCACGAGCAGTTGCCCCTCGTTCTCACCGCCGCGGTCGCATGCGCTGGTGTCCCCCCCCCCCCCCAAAAAAAAAAAAACTTACCTTTGCGCGTTGGCAGTACCACGCTTTTAATTAGTGTATGAGGGGCCGTGCTGCATATGAAGGGCGCTTTACGTAATAGTTTTACACGATGTCCGTGTCTGTCTCTGTGTCCTTCGCATTTCGTTTCCGACGCCGTGCGCGCGTGCACAGTTTCACTGCGCGCGCATGGTGTGTCCCCCGACAACGTTCAGCTTTGCTTTTTTTTTAATGCGATAGCAATTATGTATATGGACAGACTCGGCTGTTTTTTTTTTTTTTTCGCCTTCATTCACCTTATATGTATAGGTACCAACATATATGAAAACTCAAGAAAGAAAGAAAAAAAAGCCGCCCGCGCTCGGCGCCCAGCTCGTCAAGATGCGCCGACGCGCGCTTATCTTCCACGCGTTCTTTGTCTCGCGAATGGGAGGGGGAAGGGGTTAGATGCCTGTGCGCGCGCGCTTATCCTTCGGTGGGGAGAACCGCGTGCTTTGGACTTTGACCGGAGCGATCAGTGCGTTTGCCGGGAGCCCAAAGATCACTTCGCTCTTTTCACACAGCTCTTCGCGTTGAAACCGCACTGATACTCGCCGAGATAGCAAGCGCGCCAGCGATCGCAACCGCCCTTAAAGTTCAACTTCATTATTGCTACTCGAGCGCTCCCCCCCTCCCCCCCGCGTTGTTTCGTGCTCGTTTAAACCAGGTGGTTTACTTTCTGTTTGAGCATTCGACGGCAGTTCTAATATGCGGGAAATGTTGTGCACTTTCCAGTCGATAGGGATGGACTGACACGTTTGATCTCTGCTTCAGCAGCGCTCGCGCGCTTTTACCCGCTCGTGAAAATTACGATGCGCGGGAGCGTGTTATCAATTTGGACTTGTTACGGAACATGGCGGCGACATCAAAAACCCGTCGAGTGTGCCCGTATAATTGCTATCGCAAAAACAACGCAGTTTTTACTGTAAAATAAGTGTTTTGGGTTAGCTCTGCCTTCAGGCCTCCTTTTGTATACTCTGTGCGTTTATTTTCTGAATTTTCGTACTGAACCTGCATATAACGAAATCCTCTTCATAACGAATTTTTCCGGGAATTTATCAATTTCGTTATATGCAGGTTTGACTGTCTGTGCTATCGTTGTGCCATTGGTCACTTGGAGTGCTTGCTTCATTCTGAGTTCTTCCCAGTGTTGCCCAAAGGCAAGACTCTAGGTATTGCTCAAAAAGTTCCTCAATGCATTGCTTCTGTTCTATCATTAATCATGTTGTATTTTTTATTCCAATGAAAAGTGACCAGTGTAGAGGCCTTGAAAAGAACTACAAAAATAGATGAACAAGAATAAATTACTGGTTAAGAAAGTGAAGAAGATATAAGAGACAAAGAAATGACTTAAAAGACTAACAAGTTAAAGTGCAGTTTTGGGTGAAAGAGCTAACTTGAGCAACCGCGTATAGAAATGTTCATGCGTGTGGAAAAGCAAGGGTACCCCGCCGCGGTGGTCTAGTGGCTAAGGTACCTGGCTGCTGACCCGCAGGCCGCGGGATCAAATCCCGGCTGCGGCGGCTGCATTTCTGATGGAGGCGGAAATGTTGTAGGCCCGTGTGCTCAGATTTGGGTGCACGTAAAAGAACCCCAGGTGGTCGAAATTTCCGGAGCCCTCCACTACGGCGTCTCTCATAATCATATGGTGGTTTTGGGACGTTAAACCCCACATATCAATCAATCATCGGAAAAGCAAGGGTAGAGGTGAGCTGCAGTACAGTGTTATGAAGATGAAATTGAACTGGTGAAACACCCTATAAGATAACAAAACATGAATTCTGTTACTGTTAATTGTATGCTAAGCTTAGTATTATTTTGGGGTTCTTTGCTTGGTTTTCCATTTGATTCGATTTTTTTTTGTCAAACACCTGGTAAGATAAACAAAGTGCTAAACTCCGATTATCTCAGAACTTATGTGGTCAATTATTTTCTGTTCCACATCATTTTGTCATTATGCTATTTTTCTAATGAAGCATGGTCTATAATTATTTATCATCATATGTTATAAGGTCTTATTATAGTACATTCAGATAAATCGTCATACTGTTATGCTCCCCTCGCCTTTCTATATGTGTATCCACACTCTTCACTTTTGTTTACAGCTTGCACTTTTAATTGAGCAAGTCAGTAGTTTCTTTTATCCTTACTTGTAATCTTATATTTTCCTCATTTTTGTAATGCTACAATCTTATTTATTAGTTTCGATCTTGAGCAAAAACTAGGCTGACTCTATTTACATGTTACAGAAGTGGATTCTTTGTAATTTTTGCCATCAATCCTTCTTGAAAGAACCAACATCACTATTACTATGAACTGCCTCCTCTCTGTAACTCAGCACAATCACTATCTTTGTTTTTTCTCCCCTACCTTCCAACCTTTTTAACACTTCAACTTCCTCCACCCTGTTCTACGAGCTGACCTACTCTTTTCCTCTCTCAGTGATAAAAGTTGCTAAGGGAAGCAGCCTTATTCCTGACAAAAACAAGTTGCCCATGATAACGTTTTCACTCCTGCAACATT